TCTTATAATTGTGTTAGAAACAATCGCATGAAAGAAAAAAATTTGAATACATATCTTAGGGTTCATTTCCCTTATCTGACCTTTTCTGTTTGACTCAGACATATACTAGATATTGCAAATAAGGGAAAACATGGGACTTTTGTGTCTTTGGGTCTGGCTTACTTACTTAATATAATTTTTTCCAAGCCTTTCCATTTCCTAACAAATGAGGCAATGTCATTCTTTCTAATGGAGGCATAGAATTCCATTGTGTATACATACCACATTTTCAACAGATGCTGGAGGGGATGTGGACAGAAGGGAACCTTACTGCATTGTTGGTGGAAGTGTAAACTTGTTCAACCACTTTGGAAAGTGGTATGGAGGTTCCTCAAAAGACTCCACATAGAGCTCCCCTATGACCCAGCAAACCCACTTTTGGACATTTACCCAAATGTTTACAAACAAGACCACAATAAAGCTACCAGCACAGCTATGTTTATTGCAGCATTATTTACTATAGCTATAATATGGAACCAATCCAGATGCCCCTCAGTAGATGAGTGGATCAAGATTTTTATATTTTCAAATTCTTCATTAATCTTTCATTATTTACTAGATTCTGCTAGTTTCTCAATATATTTCACTTTTTTCTTCTTTGTATATCAATGTCATTTGAAAGAATTATCACTCAGTTTTGCTGTCTGAACTGTGTTAAATGCACTAAATTTTATAGCATTCCTATATATTTTTGTTTGAAGTTGAGAATGATATCCATGAAATATTTATCATTTATTGAACTTTTATTTTGAGTTGTCATTGGTAATGAAAAGATTTACAAATTGCTATATTCATGGAACTGACATATTTCTAGGAAGGTTGGATGTATGAACATCCGTAGATCAATTAATACAGTATAGTATATAAATTGAATTAACCATCCTTATCACTCAGTCATGACAATAGTTGTGGAGGTAGCATGTAACAAAATGCAAACTTCATTCATGATTTGCAATTAAAAGAGATAAAGTCTTCGATCACACTTTAAATTCCTTATGATACAATACTCTAAGAAATTCTTTAGCCATCATCAACATGTATAGGGTTGATGAATATTGGTTTTAATGTTGGGAAATCTTGCAGAAGTATTATTGGTTCCAGGTGATTAGCATTCACCAAGCATATGAAGGTGACACAGAAAATCACCCTGAGCTGTCCTCTTAACTTACATGTACTTTCTTGTCACATACTTTGTTTGCTGCTGGATTTCTAGTCTCCAAGACACGATACATTCTCTGACTTCTAAAATAGCCCTGACTTCTACAAGTTAATTGGATATGCCTATAAGACATAAGCATGGCTTCTTTACTCATGCTAGTAGTATCTTAAAATATCAGGGAATGGGCACACTTCCTTTTTCTTTTTCCTTTTGGATGGGAGGATCCGGTCGTGGGTCTGAACTCTGGGCCTTAGGGCTATCCCTCAGCTCCTTAGCTCAAGGCCAGTGCTCTACTACTTGAGCCACAGTGCCACTTCTGGCTTTTTTTTCCTGAGGAATCGAACCCAGAGCCTCTTGCATGCAAGACAAGTGCTCTACCACTATGCCATCTTCCCAGCCCCGAGCACACTTACTTAGGGGAATATTTTCCATACATATTTGCAGGAAGATAAATTTTATGATCACTCAGTACAATACACAAGAGTCTTTTCCTGATTCTTACTGTGTACATATGAGGTGCCTCCATAGGCTTTCCCATCTTTGGAAAACAATGCTCAAAGAAATATTTCAGGTGTTGTTATCTAATTCATTACTAGTGTAGCACTCAACCACAGACATTATAAAAGCATTGCATCAAAAGAGATCAGGTGATCTTCTTTATTGTGGAGCTCCATTGTGTAAAGATCATGCAGATTAGCACTTGAAAATTTGTCCTTGAAAATATGCCAAGTAACCTTTCTCAAAATTGGTTGCAGATAATGACAAAGTGTTGCACAATACCCTCAGCCTATTACATCAGGTGCTCTGGACATATCAGACTGGGAGAGGAAGCATGCACTGCTTTTAAAATAGCTCCTTGGGATTCTTTACAGACATATCTTTGTGGGAAACTTTTGAGCAACTGAATGAAGTTCTTTGAGTTTTAATTGACCTCACAATAAAAAATAAATGCACCCTATTTGTAAAAATAGCTACAGAAAAGAAAACAAATGTTAAATTACAGAGATGGTAAGTACCTCACTGGAAGGAGATGTTTAAAATGACATTTAGCAAATTTTGGCTTACAATCTTGGAAGAAGTTTTGTTTTGACCAACATTCATCCCCAGTAAGTATTCTTAAGGTGTTAAATTGACTTGAAGACAGACACTGGAAGGGAGATTAGAGAATAAGAAAGGAGTTACATTGACCAAAAAGCTTTGTATAAATAACCTGACTAATGGAATTGTAACTATTTTGTACAACTACATAATAAAATTAACAATGATAATAGTATTAATACCCCATAAAAGATATTGGAAGTAAAAACAGTAATATAGAAGCTTTAGCATTTTGTATTGCTTAAATATTTTCATAAAATGTTTTAGCACATTATAGGATAAAATGGAGACTGTAACCGTTAGTCTAAGTGTACTTTTATATCATTATTTAGACTTCATGGTTAAATTTATGTCATAATATATAACTTTATGATTAATTATGACACAACTTAGGGTATTAAAATGCATAACATCATGATTAATTTTGATATAACTTAGGGAACTGAAAAAATGTTGCATCTTTCATATTAAGACAACTCATTTTAGAATCACTTGATCTAAGGATCACCCCCACTTCTCAACAGTGTCCATCAACACACTATGAGAAGCTGGAACCAAACAGTGCTGCTGGACTTCATCCTTATGGGGCTGACAGATTCTGCAGAGATGCAGCTGGCATTAACTCTGCTGTTTCTTCTGACTTACTTGATTTCTGTATTGGGAAACCTAGGCATGATCATGATCATTTATCTGGATCATCAGCTTCACACACCTATGTATTTTTTTCTTGCTCACCTCTCATTCATTGACCTCAGTTTCTCAAGTGTCATCACACCTAAAACCTTAGTGAACTTACTGACTTCTACCAAAAGTATTTCATTCCTGGGCTGTTTCACACAGATGTACCTTTGTATCTTTTTTGCTAGTTCTGAAATTTGTCTCCTCTCTGCAATGGCCTATGATCGCTATGTGGCTATCTACAATCCTCTACAGTACCCTGTTATAATGTCCTCAAGACTCTGCTGTGTCCTGGTTATTGGCACTTATATGATTGGCTTTGTGGATTGTTCTTTCCTTGTGTTTTCTATAGCTAGGTTGTCTTTCTGCAATTCCAATGTAATTCATCACTTTTTTTGTGATATATTTCCAGTTTTAGCTCTATCCTGCCATGATACATTTGCCAATGAAATTCTAGTATATATTTGTGGTTGTTCTACACTGTTATTGTCCCTGATCCCAGTGTTCTGGTCCTATGTGTCCATTCTCTCTACTATTCTGAAAATTAAGTCTACTTCAGGAAAGCAGAAAGCCTTCTCCACCTGTGCCTCTCACTTGCTGGGAGTTACCCTCTTTTATGGGACAACAATCTTTACTTATTTAAAACCCAAGAAGTCCTACACCCTGGGCAAGGATCAAGTGGCATCCGTGTTTTACACGATTGTGATCCCCATGCTCAATCCACTCATTTATAGTCTTAGAAACAAGGAAGTGAAGAATGCTTTCTTTCGAGTCGTGAAGAAGACTGGGGGATTCTGGCAACTAACATAACTATGATTTGAAATGTGTACATTCATCCTTTGCTGCTTTACTTGTTTAAAACTTCCTTGTTTTTCTCAAAAATTTGAAACTCATTGATATTTTGCAGTAGAATTCGGTTTTATTTTTCTACACATGATTGTATACATTCCTGGGTATATGTTGTAAGAGATTCGTATTGCAATTTAAAGTCATATAATATGTGATAAAGTATTGTTTATATATGTGTCTGTGTGTGTGCTTCTGATTCATATGCATGTATAAATGATCAACTAACATGTAAAACATACAATAGTTAGAATTCTTAGGGTAACCTCAATTTTATCCTGACTCCATGACTATCACCATTTATATATACTCAAGACACTGAGATCAGGGGACTGCCACTTGAAGCTTGCCTTTGCAGACTATCCTGTAAGTTTTCGCCCCATAAAATTTTCTTGAGTGAAATAGCCAAGCAGGAGGCATCATTATGTCCTGAGTTCAACCCCCAGTATCAAAGTAATCTTAAGAAAATTAAAAATAAATAAGTGAGGTCTTAGGGAAAACATCTGTGTGATGTAAGGACTCCAGGTATAATAACTTTTTCTTAAATTTTATTGTTATCAATAATTTGTTATACAGAGCATATTTCTTTTTGTACAATGTTACCTCTTCCTTCAGCAATCTCTGTTTCATCCTCCACAAGTTACATAGTTCATTTTCATCATAAAGTACCATGGTGATATTTATTCACCCTTTGTTCCTCCATTTTTGGGCCCTTCTTGACATTCTCCAAAGACAGCGAAAAGAACAAACAAAAAAATTGAAAAAACACAAAACCAAAAGCAACAAGGAGAACCATCATTCTACTTGGACATGGGTACTTCTTAAAGCTATGTGATAAAGTATTCTATGCAAAGCAAGCACTCTACCACTGAGCCACCTTCCCAGCCACAAACAAAGGTTGTTTTTGTTTTTTGGTCGATGCTGGGCCTGAATTCTTGGGCAATGTGCCTCAACTCTTCAGCTGAAGGCTCTACCACTTGAGCCACAGCACCTCTTCCAGCTTTTTCTGCATATGTGGTGCTGAGGAATCAAACCCAGGGCCTCATCCATGCAAGGCAAGCACTCTACCCCTGAGACACCTTCCCAGCCCCTTCTATGCATATCTCAATTGTAAGAAATTTTATAATGAAGAAATATATCTATATATGCACATTAATATTTCCAGATGCCAGGCTTTGCATAATAACTAATGATTTCTTAGCTGCATAACTGTTAAGAAATGACTGAAAATTTAGTCATTTCTTCTGCTATATAGGATAAATCCATATTTTTGCTATATGTGATCAGAAAAGCTCTTTGATGACTACGGTTGCAGTAAACAGGAGATTGTAACACTGATTTTGTAATACTTTTGGAGTGAGATACTGTCAGTTTTCCATGTCAAAATCTTCTTACAGTAACATCTCTTACATGGGCATATGCTAAACATATGAGGACTACGTATCCAGTGACCTATCAGTTCTGCTTCATTGAATTAACCCATTTCTTTGGTTTATTGGAATATACATAAAATAAATCCTTGAATTGTTTGATTTTCCCTTGCAATATTTGTAAAGAGAAATATAGAGCAAATATTTAATTTAAAAACTCTTAGTGTTTTTAGTATCCAATAAACTCTGGCTTATTGAATAGTGATATTTCCCTAATTTTCAATTTTTCACTGCATATTTTGGAATTGTATTTTGCATTGTTCATTGATATTAAAGATTTTTTAATAGTAAGGTTCCTTTTCCTGTATTTTGTTGTTTTAAAATTTATAACAAGTACAAATTTCACAAATTGTTTAAATCCAACCAACATAATTTTTTAAAATAATTACAAAGGTAAGGTCTAAAAAATTATATTTGATTTTTTCCTAAATACTTGTAACATTTGGCTACTACAAAATGAATAACTTTGTTCAAACCCCTCACTTCCAAAAAATAAAAGTAAATTAATAAAATGAAAATCTCAACTGGTCTATTTTAGTAGTTATTTAATAGAGTCTTTTAATTTAAAAACTGAAGTTCTTTATTAAATCTTCCAACATTTATTGAATACTGCTGTTTTCTTAACAAATTTCAAACCTTTGCCTTGAAATATATCAATGTCATTGAAAAGAATTTTCACTCAATATCACTTTCCTCACTAAACTCTGTAGACTATGTATTTGCTAGCATTCCTATATATTTTTGTTTCACGTTGAGAATAATAGTTATTAAGCATCTATAATTTACTGAAATTTTCTTTGAGTTGCCATTCGTAATGAAATGCTTTACAAATAACTATTTTTTACAAATATTTACAAATAACATTACCAAAAAATCTTGAAATTGTCTTATTTCTAGCAGGTTGGATCTCAATTTTGCAATATACTTTAAAAATAAATTTTGAATCCAATGTTTAATTTTCCATTTTGTGTTTGTAATTAGAGGTATAAACCAAATATTTGATTAAAAATTCAGGTTTTGTGCCTTCCAATCAACTCCAATTTAGTTGAATATTAAAATTTCCTCAATTTTCATTTTCATCTGTATATTTTTCTACTGCTGTTTTCCTTTTTCTCTGATATTAAAGGTATTTTAAGGCATATTTCTTTTTTATATTTTTGTAATTTAGTAATTTATAGCAATTACAAATTACACTGATTGTTTAAATCCAACCATTACAATTGTGTAAAGTCACTACAAAACTAAGGCATAAAAATTATATTTCCTTTTTTCTTAGTGACTTCTGGGTGTTAGTATAATGGTATATCTACTACAAAAGAATTTGGAAAAAAGTATCTTAAGTGAAGTAAGCCAGGCCCAAAGAAACAGAGGGCCTATGGTTTTTCTTATTTGCAATGACTAGTATAATTCTAGGACAAGCAGAAAAGGTCAAAAGCTATGTACATATGACCATAGAAGATGATGTTAAGTGAAATGAAAGGACACAACTGTGTTTTTCTTTCTTGCTATAGTTTTTAACATACTGAAAATGCACTATGTGATTTTTTTTTGCTTCTTTTGTATGTGCTTCCACATGGTATAACCCCTGTTTTCACTGTATTTGATGTCGGTGCCTAACTTGGGGAAGGGAAGAGAAATAACCAAATGCTGAAATAAGGATACAGGTTGACCCATTGTAACAATGATATTTACAAGACACTATGTGGAAAACAAATTTTACAACTTTGTCAGTGGGAGGGTGTTGGGGGGTAATTGTGGAGGTAGGAGGGAAGGGATAGTAGGGGAAAAACAAAGGAGGAGGTAACAATACTTGACAGGAAATGTATTCATTAGCTTGCTCATGTAACTGTAACCCCCTCTGTACAGTATTTTTACAATAAAAAACATGAAATAAAAACAAAGGAAGTAAAAATGCTTAACAAGAAATGTACTCATTAACTTACTCATGTAACTGTAACGCCTTTGTAAATTATTTTGTACAATAAGAAACATAAAATAGAATTCCATTCTTCAAATTCCTCATTGCCAATAATCAAATAAATTAATAAAGGAAAAAACTCAATTTGTCAATTTTAGCAGTTAATTATTAACATTTGTATAATTTCAAGTTCTTTATTGATGTTTCAGTACTCATTATATTCTGCTACTTTCTTAATATATTTCAAAATTTCCCATTATTTTTTCTAAATATTTCTTTCCTCATGATGCTATATACAATACTTATATATAGCATTCCTATATATTTTTGTTTGAAGTTGAGAAAAATATTGATTAATAATTTATCATTTATTGAACTTTTATTTGAGTTGTCATTGGTATTGAAATGCTTTACAGATTCATACATTCATGGAACTGACATATTTCTAGGAGGGTTTGTTGAACATCCATAGATCAGTAAATACAGTATACTGTATAAATTGCAACATCCATCCTTATCTGTCAGTCATGCAAATAGTTGTGGAGATAACAATTGACAAAATTAAATGTCGTTCATGATTTACACTTGAAAGAGGTATAGAGTCTCTGATCACAATTTGATTTCCTTATGATACAATACTCAAAGGAACACTTTGGCCATTATCCACATCTCTAGGGTTGACAAATATTAATTTTTGTTGCTGGGAAAATCTTCCACAAGAATAATGTGTTCCACGTGATTCAACATTCGCCAAGCATATTAAGGTGGCACAGAAAATCACCCTGTACTATCCTTTCACCTTTTTCTTAAATTGTGGAAATACCATACAGAAGAATTACAATTAAATGGGCAAGATAATGAGTACATTTCCTATCAAGCATTGTTGCCTCCTCCTTTGTTTCCCTTTCCTATCCCTTCCCATCACCCCCCATCCCTCTACTTCCCCCCCCAAAGTTGTAAAGTTCGTTTTTCCACATAACGACTTGTACACCTCATTGTTGCAATGGATCCACCTATATCCCTATTTAAACGATTTGTTTTTTCCCTTCCCCTCCACAAATTATATCAACATCAAATACAGTGAAAGCAAGGGTTAAGTTCCTTGCTTGACACATACTTTGATGCTGAATTTCTAGTCTCGAAGAATAAAATATTCTTTTTTTATTGTGTACATACAGTACAGAGGGGTTACAATTACATGGGTAAGATAATGAGTACATTTCTTATCAAGCATTGTAGCCTCCTCCTTTGTTTACCCTTCACATTCCTTCCCAGCCTCCCCCCCACCCACACAATCCTCCCAACCCACTAAAGTTGTAAAGTTCGTTTTGGACAAGACAACTTGTACTTCTTTATTGTTGCAACGGGTCCACTTGTATCCTTATTTAAACAATCCAAGACTAAAATATTCTATCTTCTAAAAGAGCACTGCCTTCCAAAAGCTCAGTGGATATCTATGTGATATATGAGGATAACTTCTTCGCTCAAATCTGCAGATCGTTTGTCTCTGGAAATTGTAGGGAATGTACTTACCTTCTTAGGGAAATATGTTCCATACATATTTGCAGGGAAATTACTTTGATGATCACTCAATGCAAGATTCACAAGAAACTTTT